CGAAAGCATCCCCCTTTCGCTGGGCATATTACGATCGACACTATGGATGGCCCTTTTAAATTCGTCATCAGTCATCAGAAATCGCAATCGCGTGAGAAATCCATACTCGCTATAAATGTACGACACCTCTGCAGCGACAGCTCTGTGTCGCCGCCGCCGCCGGAATGGATGCCGTGAGGGCTCATTGCGGTTAAGTATCAACCTAGGACGCGGCTCAGAAAGCGATCATCCCCACGTACCTCTACGGTTGGGTGGGGGTCATCTTCCTCCATCCCCTACCTGCCTACACTACCCACCTCGCTCTCTATCGTGTTCGTGGGAGCTAGTAGAAACGAATACGCTCGACAAAAGGGAATCAACCAAGAGCTACAGGGGTTAAGCCGAGAAAAGTACATGAGAGAGTGCATGGACTCAGCTGGGCAACAGCCAAAAAAGCGGATCTGGATGAGAGAGGAGGTAGGGAACAGAGAAAGTTGGGAACGTTGAAGATAGAGCGAGAACCCATCGCATGAACAAGACAAAATGTCAGCTACAAAAAACAAGCACGGCGAACGACACACAAATGAAGATATCCATATTCACGCATAGACGGCAGGAGAGAGCAGTCAAGTGAAGGGAGGGAGGGAGGGAGGGATCTTGATTGCTCCAGTGAATTGATGACGGCATTATGTTTAAACAAGTATCTTGGTTCTTGATTTATTCCTTCATACACATGATGGTTGTTGAATGAATAGACCAGGTGATAGTAGTCGTTTGCGATCCTGAAAATGGATTTGGATTCACAGTATTACGCACCCATTGGTAAGTCGCACGATATCCCCGGGCTTAAACGCATCTATCTCGCTCCCCCACAACTGCAAGTGAACGGCCGCAGTAGAATCGGCGACCAGAGCCGTACAGAGCTTGGGCGCGCCTTCGCTGACCTTCCGAGCGTCATCTGAACACAATTAAAAAGGAAAAAACAGACGAAGAAAAGGAAAGTGGGAAAAGGAGCGCGGATCACAGCTGACCAAAAAGTTCTGCAGGGAGCTGATTCACAGAGGCGTAACGGCGTGCACCAATTGCCAACGACAAAGGAAAGGAAAAGACGAGAGAAAAAAAAAGGGGAAAATTTACAACTGACGAGAAAAGACGTTAAGATTTAAGCTCTCTCTCTCTCTCTCTCTCTCTCTCTCTCTCTCTGTGTGTGTGTGTGTGTGTGTGTGTGTGTGTGTGTGTGTGTGTGTGAGTGGCTGTGACACAAATGCACACAATGTGAAAACACACGATGCGTTCTGAAACCTTTATTCCTTCACAAGTTCCTCGGCGAGGGCTGGCGATTACACTTGCTCACTGATCCATTGTCCACTTATTTTCACAACCTCTCTGTGGAAAGTGAATCACCATTGTCATACAGATCTCTCTCTCTCTCTCTCTCTCTCTCTCTCTCTCTCTCTCTCTCTCTCTCTCTCTCTCTCTCTCATCACCATTGTCATGCAGATCTCTCTCTCTCTCTCTCTCATCACCATTGTCATGCAGATCTCTCTCTCTCTCTCTCTCTCTCATCACCATTGTCATACAGATCTCTCTCTCTCTCTCTCTCGATAAGGCAGCCGATCGTTCCTTCACACACTGTAATGAGATGAGAGGACCACCCGTAAGCAGTCCCAGCCATCGATTTTAATAATACAGCATCTCGTTACGTTGGGATGCCACAGCTGATCAGCACTTCAATCTAGTGATCTAGTCATGTCATGATGTTTGTCTGATTGTTTTCTGTAATCCGCCCATTTCCAGTTTCCACAAATCCAAGAACAAGGACAGGACCAGACGTGAAGCACAGCAACTGGTATTGCACGGGGGCTGGGTTCCGTTCTAAGCTTTCCCATTCTGGAGACAATGTGACGCGTCACTTGCACTGCGACTGCAATACTCTAACCAGCACCGCCTAGCAGCTCCTCGACGGCGTTCGAGCGTCTCCCAGTGTAAGCGAAAAGAGGGGGTAGAAGAGGACAGGGGGGGTCGAACACGCCCTCTGACGCATGGAACAAAAATAGCAGGCAGGAGAAGAACGTCGTTGTTCAGCCCTGCTCATCCGGTCATTACGGAGTTGGATCGCCACCATTGACGACGTGCGAGACGTGCAACGCCATTTTTTGGAACAGGCACCACTCGATCCCTCCCACCAGCGGCGGATCTCATACATCCATCCATCCAATCATGCCACCCAATGTGCAAACGACTTCGCCACGGCCATCGACTCCTCCAGAACTAGACAAGACGCGATATGCCTGGTGACTCCTCTATCTCTCTCTCTCTCTCTCTCTCTCTCTCTCTCTCTCTCGGCGGATCTCATCCATCCATCCATCCAATCATGCCACCCAATGTGCAAACGACTTCGCCATGGCCGACGACACCTCCAGAACTAGACAAGACGTGATATGCTTGGTGACTCCTCTCTCTCTCTCTCTCTCTCTCTCTCTCTCTCTCTCTCTCTCTCTCTCTCTCTCTCTCTCTCTCTGTGTGTGTGTGCGCGCGCGTGGCTCTGTGTGTGTGATTGTGTGTGTCCGGTATATTCACTCGACAACTCGAGGGGAAAAAAAAAAAAAAAAGGCGCGACTGTACTGCTTTCGTCATGAGCAGGTTGAGCCTTAATCGACTGTCCAGGATGCACTTCACTCGACTGCTGGACACTCACCAGTGTCACCACCTCGCCGAAAGCGTCGGCGATATCCTCCAGAGAGAAGTGGTCGACGTGAAGTACAACAACCCTACAATGCTAACTGACTGCTTTGTTCGAACCCCTGACAAGGAGGGCGGAGTAAGTGTCTTTGAGCGTGCGTGCGGGCGGGCGTGCGTGTGCAGCAGGTCTGTCGCTCAGCGCGACGAGAGTGCGTGGGCAGCTCGGGCGCTCCGCGCGACGAGACATGGGATCCAGGCACACCAACCACAGCCGTGTCGACGCAAACCGAGCACATCTGGCCAGATCGCGATGGCTGCTAGTTTACCTTTTTCGAGAACGATGAAAACAGTATTGACATTATTGGTTGGTGATGGCCGCAGGTCCTCTATCATTATACAATTCGATTGAGACGACCTGTTCGACATTTTGCTCTCTCCCTCGCCAGATTCCTCTCTGCGCCTCCCTCGCTCCACGACCTCTCTCGTCCCCTCCCCCCCCACTGTGTCGCCTGCCTGATCGAAAAAACCCACCGGCACTCACTCGCTAGCTCCCTGGCTGGGCTGGCTACCGGTAGCTGGCTAGCTGCCTGCCTGGCTAGCTCACCTCCTCCTCCTCCTCTCCTGTTGGCCTTCCCTCCCTCCTTCCCTCCCTCTTCCCCTCCGTAATCGCCCGCTTCGGTGAACTCTCACGCGTGATCCACACCTTTGACCCACTGAGGTTCTCTCACGGATCCGTAGACTGCCAGTTGAGCTAAGCTAAATAGGAAGTGGCGGGATCTGTCTCTGCCTCCTCCAATCTCTGCCCGCCTTGCCTACCAGTAGGAAGGGGCGAGCCCTTCCGACCCACAAAACTCGCAAAAGTGGAACCAAACACAGTAACAGTACCTTCCCTGTCTTCTGCGATAATGACAGGCACACCTCGGGAATGACGACAGCGGAAGCCATCCCTCCACTGTACACCACATCAGTCCAGAAAACTGATACTGATATATCGCCCTCGGAGCTGGCCGACGCACCCGTCGACGCCCGCCTGGCGCGCCGAGATTCTGTTCCGACGAGACGACTGGACAGCAAGTTTGTCTGAGGCCGCCACGCTCTTTGGCTGTCGATCGCGGAAGACTGGAGCGCACGGACCGCTTGGCGCGCTCGCCTTGCCCGGCTCCTCGGACCCGGGGGAGGCAGCGCAGCGCAGCACAAGCGGGCGGGGCGGCTGGAGGAAGCGCCAAATTCCAATTCCAATTCCAATTCCAATCGGTCTACCGCCCCGCCATCCGCCAAAAGCACAGATTTTATCTCCTCCCAGCGTCTCGCCCGCTCGGAGCTGCCGCCGGATGGCATTCGCAGACTTTCCTCAAATGGGCGCGCCCAGGAACTTCTTGTTGTCGTCATGCCAATCCGACCCTCTCTCCAGACGGCGCGAGATGGGCGTTCTTTTTTCTCAGAAAAAAAAAAGGGCGCCGGCCTTGAGATGTCATCATTCGACTGACTGGCAACAGGTAACGCAGGGATTCGAGCTCGCGTCTGGATTTCTCTCTTCGTTTTCGCAAAAAAAAAAGAGGGTGACGGCAGTGAGATATCATATCATCATTGACCTGACTGGTCCTAGGAAATTCAGAATTGTTTTAGACGGCTGGATTCGAACTGGCATCTGCATTTCAACAGTTCGGGGCGGTACCAACTGCACGTCGGTTTTTCGGCGCGGACTCTCTTCTTCCGTTTTTCCCCTTTCTATTTCGGCCATTTCTCGATTTATGCGTGTCATCCTCCCGCAAGGGACAAATCCCACTCGCAGCCTGCGGGCTTAGCTGGGCTTAGCTCGGTTGGTACGGCACAGAAGTCTTATTCAGGAGGTCGTGGGTTCAATCCCCACTGGCCTCACGAACGTATCTGGGCAAGTTTGGTGTACTACCAGCTAGAGATAACCAGTTTGCAGCCCGTCAGTGTTGCGTTTCCCCCCCAGAGACACTTCACCGTCGATCAAATTTCAACGTCGGTGGCCGTCGGGAGGATGGGTATTTTGAGGTTTGGGGGCCTTGCAAGGGCCAGGACCGCGTAGGACCGGTAGTTGTCCGTAGGAGGCTGAGGAGGCCACGGTCCTTGAGCCTTTTTCGAAATTGAAATGGCGCGGCTCCACTTTTCTCGAAAAGCAGAGAACCTCAAATAGAACACGTGTTGTCTACCGCGTGGGGGCGGGGAACGCAGCCCTAAGGTAGCCAAAGCAATGAGACTAAGCTCGCGCACGAGAG